CCTGGGGAAGAACGGTACTTGACCAATCAGAAGATTTCCACTACCGTAAAATTCCGAAAATAAGCCCTTCCATGTATAAGCCCCTCCAAAAATAAGCCGCCCAAACCGGTAACGCAAAAAACCCTCCGTTAAATCGCCTCTCCAAATATAAGCCCTCCGGGGGCTTGTACTTGGAAAATTGTTTTCAAATACAAAGTAAAACAAAGCAAAATTGGTAAATTTACTTCCAACTTTAAGTCTAGCCCAATCGATTTTGAAACGCAAATTTCCCTCCGTAGATAAGCCCCTCCGAATATAAGCCCCTCCAAAAATAAGCCCCTCAAAAAGGGCCTTTGAAAAATATAAGCCCAGGGGCTTATTTTCGGAATTTTACGGTATTTTACTTTGTAGAAACAGAGTTACGGCAAACGAGTCAAGTCGACAATTTCTCGAACAACCCTTCTGGTGCCTTATCGCACATTTATGGTTACGGGACATGTCATGTGGACAGAAATTTAAAATGGAAGGAATTCAGCAATTTGATGGTGGCGAATTTCCTTTGGATTGGCATTTCCGATGGAGGAAAAACGTATTGCCCTCATAATTTGCTATTGAAGTGAGATGGACAGTCAATCCAAACGTGAAGCGTTGAAAAGTTTAATATGAATCGGAAAAATATTATTTTCTTAAAACCGTCACCAATTGTCAGTTAGCAAAATGGTCACATGGGTTATCACGTGACTTACAGAGGCGATAGTTTTACTTTAGAATGTTAAGGGCTCTAAGGTGGCTTTCTCTGTACCAAATTTCGATTCGGTTCTATTCTCTTTGCCGAAGCAATATATGTAATACCTATTATCAAAAACTGAATCATTGGATAATGCAAGTCTAGAGCTCTGATTGGCTTAGCCATCATGGTAAATGAGCCATCATACCATGCTCTCCAAATATGGTAACTGTACGCGTCTGCTCAAAATTGAAAACAAGCTGGGCGTTTTTAGTAAAACAATTTTTCCACTCGCGCTTGTTAGATATGAGATGATTATAGCCAACTCGGCGCTACGCGCCTCGTTGGCCTCCCTACCATGTCATATCCAACGCGCACTCGTAGATTAATTGTTAATTAGCCCCAGGCCTTAAACCTACTTGAGAAGGAGATAGATAAAATAAATGAATAGCGATTTAGAGGTAGCACAGCCATTACAGTCAAACCGGGAAAACCGTGATCACCAGAAATATTTCTGGAATGTTATTGTGTTCCAAGAAAAAAGCCAATCAGGCGCGAGAAAACTAAACCGCAATCAAGATCGTTAATTATTTTGTAGTTTTGTGGCCAGTTCACGTGTCTTGATCTTTTCTGTGATTGGTCCTAACACAATAAACATCCCTGAGATATTTCAAGTGTTCGCGGTTTTCCCAGTCGCACTTTAACTGGTTCTTTGTTTAACTGACTTCTGGTCGAATTGGAACTGATTTGGAAATGTTGGTTTTATGAGGAGAGGGGAAACCCGAAGTACAAAAGGAAAAACCTCTCGGAGCAAGGGAGAGAACCAACAAAAAACTCAACCCACATATGGCGTTGACCCCGGGAACTGAACCCGGGCCACATTGCATGGTGGGAAGTGAGCGCTCTCCACTGTGCAACCCTTGCTCCTTTATAAAGAGATAAAGAAGAAACTGGAATGAAACCTTTGATCTCTGAGTGGATATAATTTACGACAAGTAACGGGATAACTTGGTCACGTGGTACAAACTGACGTTTACTGTTTGCCGTAATTGTGTTTCTAAAACTCTCTGTTGTTTCCTACATCAGGAGTAAGGAGGCTTTTTACATTGTTCTGGAACGAGCGATAATTGGCCAATTTTTTTAAAAATAATATTACGAGTTGCCGTAATTTTAAGATACCTTAAGCGAACACCGTTTTTTTTTTTAAATTAAAACGTTTCAAACGTTGCCGGCATTTTGCGGGCATACCTGATTGGTCTCCTTGTCTCAGGCTGAACTGGAACGCTATCAAAATCCACCAAAGACTCATCTTGATAAACAACGTACGATTCCTTCTCAACACGTGCGGTCCGTCTTGCAGGAGTACTGGTAATTTTAGCAGCCACTTTTTCCTTTTCACGATCTTTCTTTGATCGGTATGAGTAGTAAATACCCGACGCTGCTACAGTGGCTATCATAACACCGCCGACAATAGCTAATATTATCAGTGTTATGATGTCCATTGCACTGTAAGAAGAGAATTAAAAGGTAAACAATAAATAAATAATAAAATACTTGGACAGCCTCACATCCACTGGTTATTTGTGGTGCTTTACCCCTCTTGTTCACTTACTACTCCGGTCTTATTACCTTTGTGTCCTTCCCCTTAAAATTACAATTGTGACTTGTTATTACAATCGGCACAAATTCTTTATAACATTTGTGGCCCCTTTTGACATCTGGCGCCAACTACCGTAAAATTTCGAAAATAAGCCCCTCCAAATATAAGCCCCCCCCAAACCGGTAACACAAAAAACCCTCCGTTAAATCGCCCGTCCAAAATATACAAAGTAAAACAGAGCACAAACGGTGAATTTACTTCCAACTATAAGGCTAGCCCAATCGATTTTGAAACACAAGTTTCCCTCCGCAGATGAGCCCTTCCAAAAATAAGCCCCTCAAAAGAGGTCTTAAAGTTTGAAAAATGTAAGCCCCGGGGCTTATTTTCGGAATTTTACGGTATTACATTGGTGACCTCAACAGGGCTGTTAACAGAACACAGCTGTTAACATAACTAACATAGCTGAACATACCTATAGTTATCTATCTATTTTCTTCAGCTTTTTATCTCTGACTAAACCGCCATTTACTATTTACAAGAAAAGCCCTTGGCTAGCTTTGTTGTAGCAGTTGAAATTATGGTATATCGTGACATGATTGATTAAGATGGCCAATTCGAAAAATATTAACTTATATCTGTTCTCTCTATATATATACATATATCTAGGTACCTATCAGATCATGATTATTTCATTTTTCTGTCCTTTTATTACATACATACAACAACAACACCAAAAGCTTTATTTGCATGACCATAAAGGAATTACAGTATTGCAAAAGCTATTAATCTAAATTTAAGTACTAATTCAACTAATTAGTACGTGCAAAACATTACAAAACGTGACAGTTCTCATTCATTCATTCATTGATATTAATTTGGTCCTTAATTCAAAGCATTGCGAGATAAATGAAACTAATTGACAGTTAATTAAATAATCAGAAGAATTCATAAGAAGAGATATTAAAGTATCGTGTGAAAGTGATTTGAAGTCAGGTATATTAGTTTCTAGTTTCGAGAAAAATATGTCTCTGATCTGAGAATAAGCCTTACAATCTAGTAAGAAATGATTTTCATTTTCGATTTTCTTACTTGTACAAAAGTGACATATCCTTTCATTGCGAGGAATGTTTTCGTATCTACCTGTTTCAATTCTAAGTTGATGACTACTTATTCTAAATACATACATACATACGTTTATTGTAACTCCCAATCTGGGCTTTTCAGCCACAATGTATTAACTTATTAGTTTTCCTTTTTTGATTTGATGGACCATATTACTTATACGTTTCTCTCCATTGCTCTCTGTTTTACAAAACTGTTACTTTGTTAATCTCTTTTTTTTTCAAACTCTTTTTTTTCGGAGATCTGTCAGTGTAATATTTAGAACTTGTGACACTGGACGGCCTCGATTAGTTTAGCAATCTGCAGGTCAGACGGATTGATTGTAAACAGTTGTTATATATAACAAATAAACTTGAAACTGATTTAAAACCTGTGCAATTATCATCCGGAATTTTGTATATATGATTTCAAGTATAATACTTCCGTTCAAGAATTGATTAGCCTGGTCAATCTTTTAGCTTGCGAGGAAAACTTACAAGAGCCAAAGAATCAATTTGTGGCATTTTTAACTTCTTAGTTGTATCTGTAATACAACAGTGTCCATGTCGCAAGTGCGATTTGAAGTTAATCCCAAGGAAATCTAGCCCCCTACCTGATATAATTTACAATGGTTCGCGTTGATGCTTAGTTAAATGTAGTTGATCTGGTTCTTGAAATGTAGCTCAGTCGACTTCCGAATCTGCAGGCAATTTTTTACATGTGATCATCTGAGAGGACTTAATTGCCAAGGCCACTGTACAACTTTGCTATAGAAACACGAAGGTAAAATATTTGGGGATCGGAGGGAATTACTTAAAAGGACGACTATAGGTAAATCAGAGCTTAAATACCGGTCTTCTGCCAACTTTAATTTAATTTAGGAAATTTGTTGATTATCAGTAGCTAAAAGGCTTTTTAGCTTTTGATTTCCTGACGACGTTTTCTTTCCATTTAGCAAAACATCAACGATTTCCCAACACTTTTTTGCAAACAAAAAAAGCAATGCTTCATTTATTTCTTTTTCGTGTTCATTAAAGTCTTTTCTTTTTCACTCAAAGGCGGCGTTAATTCGGCTCTAAGACTGAATGCGTAAAAGCTAAAAGGAAATCCGCCAATTTTGTAATTGAAGGGAAATGTATAATTACGTGTGGCCATGGATGTGGAGAAACAGAAAACGTCACCTCTGTTTAGTCTGACAATGAGCCACAAAGTTCCTATTTAATTAGTTTTGGGACATAGTTTCTGACAAGCTAACACAACCTCAAATCGGGTAGATCTTAATTCACACTTCATAATTTTTAAAAAAATAATTATAAATCCGTATAACTTTGAGCCTTAGTATGTTCAGTTTCAGGAGCGTCTCTCAAGAAAATTAAAATCTTAAATTTGCTATGTTAGCTTGTTAATTACTTTATTTAAGTAAATCTATTAGTCCCTAGTTAGAGGTGACTGAAAAATTTTCCTTAATTTATTGTTCCAGGAACATTGCTGAAAGTTCACAATCCTTGATCCGTTAGATACGCGGATAATTTTACATACCAAGGACTATATTCTAAGATCTGCCGTTTCAAAGCATGGTATAGTCTTAAGCTTGCAATTAACCATCTCGAATTGTTTCGTCGACTTTCAGTTTTTAACGGCCTTTTAAACCGGAAGCAACTTGTGATCACGTGAGCAGGACTGATTCTAAACAAACCCAACAAAGATAATGCTCAGAGTAAATCTTTTCTAGTTCTTTCCTTGTTCGGTAGGTTTTAGTTATTTTCTCTTTTAAAATTGTAATGCATGAATAATTGATCAGTGTTTACACACTTAAAACAAGGAAACAGAAAAGAATATGACAGATGATAATTGTTGAAAATTCTAGCTTTTTTATGCCAAGCTAGGGGAAATAGATATGTTACAGACATTACTAATTTTTCTCTTTCAGTAGTTCAGATCTTTATACAAAGAAATTAAGGTGATTTTTTTCGTTTTTCAGGATTAATAAATCAATTATAAGCCAGTGATAGATTTATGCCGCAATTCCCTTGTTTTTTTCTAACTTGATATTTATCGAAATTGACCCTCTTTGTGAGAGATCTCAACTTAACAACTTTTTTGTTGTCAAATAAAGCAAGAAAATACAAAAAGTTACATCCAATACATTGCTTCATTATTTTTTAGGAAACTGCTAATTTTCTCACCAGCCTCGAGCGACATACGAACCGCGGTAGCTCTCACGTATCAAAAATTCAAAAGGTTTATGATAAGCTCAGTTCGGAAAATAGTGTTAGCAGTAAAAAATATATATATATCTATGACGTCTCCTTTTGATACAGTCGAGAGATCAAGAATAACATGATATTGTTCAAGCCAAACTGACCGTCAGGCTAAGTAAATTTTTTTCATTACTCAGTAAAAATTTAAAGGTAAAGAAAACTCCCAACATTTTTATTTTGTTCTATAATTTTTTATTCCTTATCTATTATTTATCATATCTGGTATTATTATTTTTTTAGTTGTATACGCTGTTCGTCCTTCGTTGTTATTATATCGGGTTAGTTTCGTAGGACTATTTTGGAAACGTAGATTTTTCTGTATTTTAATCTGGGTGGAATCTGAATATTAACAATCACCAATTTTTACCTCCATTTTAATGAAAATTCCAGGTAAACTAAACAAAACCAAATAATCTACAATTAGTTTTATAACCATGGGCAGATAACATACGCCCATAGGTAAAGCTCAAGGTAGCTCGTTAAACTGCGCTTCGAACTTGACATTATTTTGCGTAGAACTGTTTCAACATCGATCGAGGTATAAACGTTTAAAAATATTCTTGACATATTTGCCTTTCTGATGGCAAATATGTAGAAAATTTTTTACTTGAAACATAAAGTTAGCTTTGTGACTCACCTAGCCAAGGTCGCACCTTTCGTTGATTTCTTCTCACTCTCCTTTGCCTCTTACTATTTGTGCTGTTATATCTCCAAATTGCAGAAACCTTCGATTATTGTCAGAATAAATTCAAGTCATCGTGGATCTTTGACGAACGTATACAAATAGTCTACACCTGTAGAAGTACAATTAAAACAAAAATAATACGATAAAATCAATGAACCTTCCAGCAGCTGTAGCAAGCTGGGAGCAAATAAAAATATCAATTCATTTCCAAACCGCACACGGGTACGTAGAGGAGCCAATTAAAGTGCTTGGCTTTTCAAAGAATAACAAAAGGAAACGTTCTGGCCAACAAACAATCCTCCGTAACAGCAAGAAAGAATTAGATGTTTTAAATAACATAGACAGTTGGTCAATTAAAAAGTAGAAAATTTATCATTCGTAAGAAAGAGACCCTCCTTCATTGAATTGTTGGGGGCCTCAGGAAAACTCTAGATTTATTTTTGGGGAAGTAAAGGTTGCGCGAGTGGACATCCACTATGGACGTTAAGCCCAATGCAAATTGCAGTGTCGGATACCGGACCTTCAGGTAAGGGGGGAGCCCGGTCATCCAGACCCTGAGATAAGGGCGAACCGGCCTCAAAAAAAAATTTTCGGTCCTTCGGGCCTCAGTTTGGTCTTAAATTAAATGGGGGAGCCGGGGGGGTCCGCGTCCCTCCCCTGGATCCGCCAATGAACTGACGCAACATTGTTAGCCAACAATTGTTTTTTCGTTGGATGTTACATGTTGCACACCCTGTTGCATGGTGTTGCGTGTTGTTGGGCGTTGAAGCGCAAAATTTCAAACCGGTCAAACTAGTGAGCCAACAACTCCTAACATTTCTTTTGTTCTGTTCTGTGATCGCCGAAGCATAGCTCAACTTTGTCAGATCCGTTTCCACAGCTCTTCTGACAGTTGTTAGGCCACAGAGGGGCATTACTTGGCTTACAACGTCTTATGAGTTGTATCCTTCCCATGATGAACTGCAAGTCCCAACATTGTTGAGAGTTGATGCACGTGTTTGCACACCACTGCCATCACGGACGCAACAACTGCCAACATTGTCGGCCACATAATTTTGAGAGTCGTTGCACCTGTTTGTATACCACTGCCATCACGGACGCAACAACTGCCAACATTGTTGGCCACATAATTGTGAGAGTTGTTGCGTCCGTTTGCACATAGCTTTTTGTTGCGTTTTTTCCTATAACTAACTGATAGAAACTTTTCCTTTGGTAAAATATTCATGAAGGAAACTAAACTGCTCGGAAAAGAATCAGTCTGCTCTTCTATAGAATTACTGATACAAATTTTAAATAAAGATATGATCCAAAGGATAAGTATTACGAAAATCAATTGCGAAATAGTTCCAACAACAACAACAACAACAACAACAACAACAATTTATTAAGGTATTTCCATATCTATACATGGCATTACCTATCTAATATTTATGAATAAAGTACAAATATATCATTTATAAATATATAGCAAAATAAAAAGATTATATTCTTTTCTGAAATAACATATCATGTCTGTAACGCATACATTCAAAAACAAAAGCAGCAATTGATCTACAAACAGAGGGATCTATACTATTAAAGAGAAATAAAAGTTTTGAAGTCACATCTAAGTCCTTGAAAAGTGTATATCTATCAGATATTTCACTGAAGAATTTTAAACGTAAATTGTCATAAAGTTTGCAGAAGAATAGAAAATGAAGTTCATTTTCAACTTCATTTGTCTGACATAGATAACATATTCTTAAATTTTCGGGAGTTTTAGGTACTGTGTGTCTGCCTGTTTCAATATGTAATCGATGATTTCCTAGTCGAAATTTATTGAGTGCTGTTTTGTGAAGTGGGTTTTTAATCATATTTAAGAATTCTGCTTTTTTATTATCGTTCTTAAAGGTAGTATAAAAATTCAATTTTCTATTTGTTTTAAGGAGGGTAAGTTGATGCTCAGTTAGAGCATTATTGATGTTTTGCTTGATGTAAGAGGTGAAGACTTTTTCGTTGTTTTCATTCAATGTTATGGCGGTTGCGTTGTATTTGCTACATATAGTTTTTATTTTCTGCATCAAACCTGGCTGGTTGTTATCGGCCATTTCCTGGGAGAGTTGTAGACATTGTTTTGCTATGTTTTTATCTGGCATATTTTGTAAATGAATCCAAAATTTAATAATTGAGGTATCTATAGTTAATTTCAGCGGTAATCTACCGAGTTCATTTCTAGCAGCGACGTTTGGACATTGTTTATTTACGCCTAAGGACTGTTTGCAAAAATATATATGCGTTTTGTCAATTATGTCTTTTTCCCAGGCGTTAAAATCATCTTTAGTATATATGCCCCAGATTTCAGATCCATATAAAAGAATGGGGAGGAAAAGCGAATTAATGAGTTTATTGGTTATGTCAGTTGGTAGTTTCAAGAAATCAAGGTAGCGTCGTATCGCAAAAAACGATCGTCGTGTTTTTTCTTTTAAGTTTATTTTACACACATTGAAGTTCCCATTTGTAGCTAAATTGATTCCGAGGTATGTATAATTGTTAACAATTTCTATTTTGTCATTGTTTATCTGAAAACAATATTTGTTAAGGACTGATTTTCTACATTTCTTTTGAAAAATCAGAACTTTAGTTTTCTTTGAATTAACAGATAGCAACCATTTGTTACAATATTCAGCGAGCACAGAAAGCGCTTTTTGAAGTCCTTCGCCTGAATGGGAAATTAGAACAAGATCATCTGCATAAAATAAACAGTTCAGATGAGTTCCATTTGGTAAAATAATAGGGTCTGTGTCTTGTCGGTCAAGTAAAAAAGGGATTTCATTTAGATATAGGTTGAAAAGCATAGGAGAAAGGATACAACCTTGTCTAACCCCTTTGCAATAGTTAAAGAATTCCGTTCGTTGACAATCGGAAAACTTTATGGAGCATTTAGTTTTTGAATAAAGGTGCTTTATTAAATCATAAAATTTTCCCCCAATGTTGTACCGAAGGAGTTTATAGAATAAGCCATCATGCCAAACCGAATCAAAAGCGTTTTTGAAGTCAATAAAGCAGGTATATAATTTTCCTTTTGTAGTTTGATTGACGTATTTATCGATTAGTGTTCTTAAGGTAAATATGTGATCAGTTGTACGATGATTCGGTAAAAAACCTATTTGAGCTTCATGCAATATGTCTTGATCGATTACAAAATTTTTCAGTCTGGTATTAAGTACTGAAGTGAAAAGCTTTCCGAGACAACTATTTATACGTATACCTCTATAATTTCCCGGGTCTTGCTTGTTTCCAGATTTATAAATAGGGGTTATTATTCCTTCGCACCAAGAGCTAGGGTAAAAACCACTTTGGAGTATAAGGTTAAATAATTTTTGGAGTGCGGTTTTCAAGAATTGTACGCCGGCTTTCAACATTTCATTACGAATTTTGTCAGGTCCCGGAGCTTTCCTTGACTTAAGTTATTTGACCGTAGTTTCTATTTCATTAATTGAAATAGGGCTATCTAAGTAGTTGTGAATGTTTTTCGTTTCTTCTAAACTGGAAATGTCTTCCTTTAAAGAAACAGGATCTGTATAAAAAGAAGGGGGGTCTGAAACCGAATGTAAGCGTTTAAAATGGCTAAATAGACTGTCAGCTGGAATATCGTTTTTGTTAGAGGGGGAGCGTTGTTTTTCTTTTAAAGATTTGAGGTAAGTCCAGAATTTCTGACTGTCTTTGTTTTGTATGAGGTCCTCAACTTGAGAATCTAGTAATTTTGCTTTTTTGTGTTTAACCAATTTCTTAAAGTTTTTACGCATGCTGTGATAGTAGTGTCTGAGACTTTCATCATAAGGTTTTTATGTTTCTTGTTAGATAGTCCCCTTAATTTTTTTTCCTTAAAAGGGCACAGTCCTTATCAAACCATAATTTATGCTTTTTGGTTTCTTTTGTGTACAAGCTAATCTGAGAGAACAGGCGCACATATCATTTAAAATGTTTGTAAAATGTTCCGTAGCAGAATCAATGCCTTCACTGTCCATGGCAAAATTAGTATTTTCAAATAGATTTAATCGTGAGAGGAATTTATCTTGTTTTAAGATATTAAGAAAGTGTTCTCTTGAAGTTTCATTCCAGATGAATTGTTTAGGAAGATCAAATGCTTTTGGTTGCGGAGGAGTATTTGTTTGAGGGGAAATTGATGGGGAAATATTCAGCCAACAGATAAGTTGAGAGTGATCCGAGAAAATTGTTGGTTCTTTAACAATAAAATTTTCCGTCAAGCTTAATAAGTTCCAGTGGATAGTAATTTACCCAGTGGAGAGCGCTATCCACCCTTTAAGCAACTGGGGCCAGATTTTCTTAATCCACTTGTTGCCTCGTTCACATGAATCCGGATATTTTTGAAACCGCCAATTTTCTCACCCAGATTCGAGAGGACAGAGCCCTAAACCAACCTGGAAAGCGATTTAAAAAAGATGCGGTTTCGGTGATAAGCGGATTCCTCAGGAGTAGCAATCATGCAGTTATCCTTAGCAGGGATTCGCCGCGACCGATGGTTTTGTAATGTCATCCTCAAGAACTTCGAACTCCAATCCTGAGGCATTAACCCGTGCAGTAAAGAGTGCATTGATGTTCCGGCAACCGTAACGTCCGATCAAATATAACAACAGGAAGTCGAGGAAGTTGATTCTTTTCTCTAGATTTCCCTCCTTCAGTGCTCTGACTCAATATCGTCATACATCAGGCCCCAGTCGTTCAAAAGCTGCTATCAACCGGATAAACCGACTAACCAGAGGATACGTATCAGGGACACTAATTGCGACAGTATCCAGGGGAAAGAGATTTATCCTTTCGACAGCGAATATAATCCACCGGTACCTTTGAAAAAATCACTTGGCCCCTGGAGTTAAAACAAAAGCTTTCAATATCATTGTGTCGCACAGACGAGTTCCATCGCTGAGACGTAAGTGAAAAATTAAACTCAGGGTTTGCTATTCATAACATGCGTGGGATGTCAGCGTCCCTCGTTGCTTTATAAGCACTTACGATGCGGGTAAATAAGCCGATTACCCAGTAGCCGTAAATTCGAGAACGTCGTGTAGAATGCCAGAAACCGGTACTAGTAAGAGTGAAACCATGGTCCCCTGCGCTATAAGTACCTGAGAATATTCCCCCGTGCCTACAAAACGACGTTACAAATTTCAAACAATTTTATTGATCAATAAATATATTCTCAGCCATTACAGCCATTAACTTAAGGATTTTCGCCACTCTTACAAGTCAAAGAAAAATATAGGACGACAGAATGCCCTGTTTTTTCCAAGAAAGACGCGGATACGCAGTCATACTTTTACAGCTATTTCGAGAAAGGTTGTCGGAGAAAAATGTGCACGCGACAATCCCGAAAGGTAATATGCTGGGATATGATCAATACACTGTTCCTAACGACTGTAGCTGTCGAACTTAGTTTTGTTGCTTTCCTTTAGCACTTTCAAACATATGTCCATGGCCTCTCGTGCCATTTTTTCAATTTTCTTTGAAGAACAGTGAACTCAAAACCACCCACAATACCTTTCGGGAGTGTCGCGTGCACTTTTTCCGACAACCTTTCTCTAAACAGCTGAATACGCTTCTGAAACTTCATTATACATGATAGTACTCGTTTTCATGGTAATAGGGCTTTTGGGGGCCTTTAACTATCGAGTGCAGCCTAAAACTGGACTACAAAATGCCTTTGAATACCTTTGCTTTTCTCTACGCTCCAAAGTAGACTTAATTTGGTTAAACGAGAGAGAGCACAGTGCAAAAACATGCAGCGAATCACTCTAAAAACAGCAAGTAGGCATATACGTGAAGTGCTTCATATGCTGCCTTAAGTGCATTTTAAATTGGATCTCGGATACGCAGTCATTACTGACTTTGAACACGAAAGGGTTTTTGCCAAGTAAATACGCGAATACGCAGTGAATTGCTACTTAAAGGTTATTTACGGAGTGGATATGTAGATACACGCATTCACTTATCATGTTTAGGGGTTGCTTCAAAGTCGCAGTGTTTTCTGCGGTTAAGTATCCGGGGAAGGCGGAGTGTATTCTCAGTTTTAGATATGACGTATTTGAAGTTAAACATATGTCAAGCCAAAATCCTTTGTTTAAGCCACTTTGAAAAGGAAATGCGCAGTTTATTAACTTGTCTTTTAATTTTCAACTTATCTTTTACAACAGCCCCAAATTACCACTTGACGCATATTCATTCTCGTTTTGTCAACAATCTATTGATCTCACATCTTACTATGAAAACTTTCTTCATTTGGGCTAAAAAAGTAACTATCTCACTTTTGCATACAAAATATCTATGCGTAAACAAAGACTGGAGATTTAAATCCCCGTTGCGATTTACTGAACACACCCATTGTGCGAGTTGACACAGTTCATTGGACGCATATGGTTAACATTCCTAAAGAGCGCGGTCTTAGTTTTAGGCTAGATCCTTATAACCTATTTTAAACCCATATTTTGAAGTTTTCTAACATGCTGGCCGCTTTTGATAAGTTTTACATGCATCAAAATGAAAATTTTGTTTTTTTTCTAGATCTCTTTGAGTCGTTTGTGATTTTCATTCCCTTAAAATGGCGCATAATTGCGTGGTTGAGCATAATTCTCACAAGTGAAGCGAATCTAAACAATAGGTTCGAAGATTCAAGCTCTACAAAAATAGCACTAACATTAACTTAAATTCGCTTTATCGTCTTTAAAAGTTAAAAATGTCAAGTAAAGGCTTAGATTTGAAAATTTTCGCCGGTCTCATGATTATTTTTGGGCAAAGCGCGCTGAAGTTTTCAAGTCAAAGGCACATATTTAACATAAATTATTTGTCTCGCAAGTTCTTGGCGGGCGAGTCTTCATACTTTACACGAAAACCAAAAATCTCTACTGGAAGAAAATTTCTGTCAGTGAAAGGGTAAATCAGAGATGTATATCGATACCCATTTTTTACTGTTTGAGAGACATAAGAGGAGTGAATCGCTGGAAAGAGGTTTAGGATGGATTCTTGACACTAATTTATGCTGGCTATGCTAAGTGAATCCCCATTGTAGGCGAATGTTTATTAATCCTTTTGAAGGGATGCAAATTGTTAGAAAAAACAAGGATTTCGCTAGAAATCTGCAGTATATTTCGATTAAGAACACACATCTGGGATAAATGCATGAAGGCAACCATCTTATCTAGAGCGAATCCTTGAGGAGAAAACGTACTTTTAAGAGGAACTTCTGGAGTTCTTGCTGAGCGACAAAACGTTGAGTGTTAAGGAAAGTACACCAGTTTATGGATTAACGATGAAAGTCCCTTTAAATCTCAGAAAATCCGTTCACCGATATGGGAATAGGTCTAGGAGCGATTAGATATTTTCTCAGTGCTTTTGATATCCTTTTGCAAACACAGTTCAGTTCAATCACACTGCTCTTTAACACTCGAATAAAATTGAATGCTAACAATAGTCCAAATCAAATTTACCGAAGGTAAAACCCTAAGTAATCTATTTTTGTATTAACTTACCTTTCATTGCAGCCTACATCGCGAATTATGTCCTTAAATGCTTTCCTCTTGCTTAAAAACTTGATATAGGCTTTTCCAGAAAGAAGTGGTTTGTCGCCAAAAGGCACTTGATCAAAATCCACTGAATTGATTCTCCACACTTCAGTTCCTTCAAGTCGAAGTGTTTTGTAATTCATATGAAATCCCTGGGGTCACCCTGCATGAAGAAATAATATATAAAACAACCTCAGCCATTTAATGAACTGCACTATACGTTTTAAAAGTGAAGTTCTATTTGGTATCAGTTAATTATATCAATATTTTAGCAGCACAAAGGGAAAATAATCAGTGATTTTTAAGGTATTGCTATTAGTTAATAACTTGTTTGGTGTTCTTATGAATCGAGATGTATATCAATTTTATACAAACATATCTGCTGATCAGGCACTACCGCCGGGCCCTTCTAATTTTCTACATAATGAGCTATCGCCAGTTTTGGTCAGTTTTGTTGCTAAACAGCAATGAACATAACTCCTATGGTAGCCACAGGTTCTACTTTAAAAGTTGTTTCGAAGATAATGTATCGGTTATGCGGCAAGAAAAGGTTAACGTGAGGTAAATGAGCTAAATGTTCTTTCGATATAACGATCATGAGTTGCATATGATAATTTGGTTAATATATTGCTTTTAACGTAAACCAAAACAAACTTAAAAACACGTTGACATGTAAATTATGTTTCTGAAACCCAGGCTTTGTGCTTTATTATATTGTTGCTGCTTGCTTATTTCGATGGAACTCGAACTAAATATTGAATTATTATTGTAGTCTCATAAATTACTTAAAGAACAGTCAGAGCATTTAGAACTTTTAAAATCAGTAATGGCAGTGTTAACTGAGAATATATTGAAATATAATTCTCCTGAACGGGATCAAAAAGTGGCAATTTTTGAACACCGAAAATGTGCGCGCGCTTATTGCAGAAAATTGGCGGGAGACTAATGCATGCTAGATTCATCGCTTGGACCAGGAGCCGGCTCCCGCTTGGACTCAGTTTAATCTGAAAATTTAAAATTTCTACTTTAACCCAAAACTAAAGCTTAAGCTTTGATCATCGTTTTTTCACCTCAAGACGTTGTTGAATTGGTGCGGAGTCATTTTTTTGGTTTTTGGTTTGCGACAACCACAAAAATGAACAATAGATGCATTATCATGCAAGATTTTAACCCAACCGACACAAGTAATTTTGTTTTTAATTACAACTACAGGAATTAAAGAGCATTTAAAAATTCTTTTAGCGAAAACGCTAGGATTTACTGGACACAAAATGGGGCGAAATTTTTCAATTGACTAGTACCTCTGACTTTGTGACAACTAACCAAATTTAATGTTCTTCTCCGGATTCTTTCTAAGCGCGCTATAGTTGTGTCGCGCCTTACATCAAGCAAATTTGTTAGGTGGAAAAATTCCTGTGTTTATATGATATAATCAGAATGATCATAGTTACAGAAAAATATGAGATTTTAGGTAAAATAAGAAAAGAAAGTAAGTAGTTCAGCACGTTTATAACTGATACTTACGAACACACTCGATCATACATTCAGCTGAATTACTTAATTAATATGCAGGAGACTTAATAACTTACTATCATTCTCACACAGAAATTAGTCTTACTTCTTCATGCTATCTGTTGGAATAAACATTAACCTAAATTATTCCTTCACTCTGTTTAGCACAGATATACTAACGCAGAGCCACAGCACAAGTGTAAACGATCCATCAAATTGCACACTTGCAGGTCAAATTTATCCGTTGCCAGTGATACAGAAAAAGCAGGCCTTTTTTACTAACCTCAAGTCAGCTTTTTACATTTTAAATACGCGACTTTTTCTCACTTACTTCTTTGTGCCACTATCTTTGCTTCGTTAATAGCCGGTTACTCAGTTTAGTGTCCAGAAACCGGGGACCTTTGCTCTCTGACAATTTTGAAAGCTGGCGCCATTTTCAGCTGTTGAAAACAATAGCCTTGACACGGCTTATGGGCAGCGACTACATACGAATATCATTAAACAAATACAAAAGGCGCTTTATTTATTTATAAATGTAGGACACGTTTGATTTGTGCTGCTTTATGTACTTTGGTGTCAAAGATAAAATGACCTTCCCAACCGCTGGACGGTGGACGAAACCAACTAGCGACATTTTTAAACAATGTTTATCCAGCAGACGAATCTCCATTGATATTCAAGTCCTACAAAATTATTTTATAGTTGCTTGGTGTTTAGAAGTGCGTGTTTTTATCGTGAAGGTCGTATAAAATTGGTTTTCGTACAGTGAAATGTAAAGAAAACAAGGAAGGTGTCAAAAGAATCTGTTTTGCTACCATCGCTTTAGACTGCAAAATTGGTTTAGTGTAACGTAAGAATAGCCTTAGAGTCTCACTGGGCGCGAGACTGTTCGCGCGTACTTGAATACCCAAAAATTCGGACTGTTTTGAACTCTAGCGATGGTAGATTACAAAATAGTCAATTTTTTCTTAAAATCGGTTTAGCGTAGTTTATTTTAGCTCCCGTTCATCTACATTAATTTTTATTTCCTGACGTTGGTCCTGAACCACTTTCTACCCAGGAAGGAAACTGAATAATGTCAGGAAGGAAATACAATGTAACTTCTTTTCCGTCGGAAAAATTAAAATATTTTCGACTCACTCAATGGAGGTTTTCCGTTAAGTTCAAGCGAAAACAATTAAAAAGTCAAAATCTAAGACGCAACCACTTATCCTAATTAGTGTGCAAGATGAGTTATTTTACTGGAGAATTTGAATTTAAAACAGGAAAGCGGGGTTTTGTGGGGCGCCCGTTAATGATATCAGACTGTCTGAGTCACTGTGACGTAGAGAAACTGAGTTTTTCTTCTGTTTTCTTTTCTTTGATAGACTTTTTACAGTCCCCTATTTTCCGTTAAGTTCATCAAGAACAAATAGGGATAAATGTTACGTAGATGTCTCCACACATACTGGATCTGAGAATATTGTCTTGTCTTGTCTTCTCTACTGTACTTCAGTTGCAAAGCGAGCTGCCTGGACGCGCGCAATGTCCCTAAATATAGGGTTTACCAGCGTTTACCCAAACGGCAAGAAACGGAATAGTCGCCCCATTTAAGGGCATCCAACAAAGTCTGATAGATAGGTTAAAAATCTCTAAAGATATTATCCTAGTGTTTCTTTTTTTATTTTGAATGTACTCGACAGCTGTATTTTTAACTTAATTTGATGGTCAATGTTATAAACTACTATTGTAATAAAATTGAAATTGAGGAAATAAGAAGGAATCAAAATAAATAAGTTTTAAAACCATCATGCGTCTTTCTGTCTGAGGACCTCTGAGTTTTCTGTCCTCTGCTGAGTCTAAACGGCCGAGTCATGGCATCGTCAATGGATCTCACAGAGCAGGTTGATAAACTACGTCTTACCGTGGTAACATTCGGGTTCCAGGGTGGTTGGTATAGAGAGGGGGCATCCGAAGGAGAGGCACCCCTGTATAAAAATCCTGATAACATTCATGTGGAGAGTCTAATGACCGTATAGTGAACAGTGAAGAAGCCACCTTTTCAAAGCTTTTCAACTTAATCCTAATACTTGAGTTGTTTAATCCTAATAGGTGACTTGTTGCGTCCGTGTTGACAATAACTGCCAACAACATGCAACACTAACAGGGTGTGCAAGCGGAAGCAACATGTAACATCCAACAATTAATGTTGGGAGTTGTTATTCTTTACAAAGTTGTTTATTTTTGCAACGCAAAACATGAATCTCACAATAAGTAATCTCCAGTGCAAAGTACGAACTGATAACAGTTACACTCGGCGAGCAGTCTTTCCGGCGGTCCTGGGTTCGAGACCCTTCGCATCTATTGCTCGGGGAGTTCAAACCACGCGCGTTGCTTCTGCCGTTGGGGTTTTTTAGCGGCGTTGTGTTGAATCATTTGTTTCTAAATATTTCGCGCGTTTTGCTCGACAGACTATAAGAAAAAACCTTCCACTAAACATGCCTTTAAACTTTTTTTTTTTTTAAAAAAAAAACAGTCCAGATAACAGTGCAGTGCCGGGTCCAGACTATTGAGGGGAGATACGCGCGGGGAGGGTCGAGGGGGGCGGTCCATTTCGTGTCTCGCGCGTTTTTTGGGGGGGGTCATCCAGAAAATTTTTTTCGGCCCTTGGGGCCTCAGTTTTGTCTAAAAATAAGGGGGGGGCTTGGCCCTGCGGGCCCCACCCCTGGTTCCGCCACTGCATTGAACCTGTTTTCTCAACTTTAAACGTTATAACTCTGGTTTGTTTATTTCACCTCTTAGTAAACTTCAGAGAATGTTAAGTACTCTCAGTATGTCGTTGGCAACTTTTTTATTACTTCTGGGTGAAGAGAGACAAACCAGAGTTAAATTTCTGCTCTATAAATAAAACAACGCGACACAAGGCTGGAATATTCTATGAAGTTTGACAATGTTTACCGCTCGGTCACCAACATCGGTATGCATGTTTTCGGCACCATAATTTAGTCTCTCGACCACCGCGGTTTTAACTAAACATTAAGATTTAACATCAACACTACAGAGGTTCAATAGTCACACATATAAATCTAAAAAAATCGCAGTCTATAAAGCAGTAGGGTGGTTGTTTGTAAAGTTTTGCATCCGACGTTTGTTGAGGAGTGCCGCAATTGGCCTTCGGTGGCTTGGAATAGTTTTCCGGCTCAGTCGTATTCAAATTTGAGAGCTGGTTAAAAAAAAAGTCGTCAGAACTGAAGCGTAAAAGAAAAAATGGCATCAAATGATAGAATTTGAAATAACTGGAACCTCAAGCAAGAGAATGAATAAACGTTTTCCGTTTCATCTGTATTTAACTCTCATGAACAGACCGTCTCTGAATTCTAACCTGGTGCTTCTTTAATCCCGGTTTAACACTGGGTTTTTCACCGCCTCGCCAAACACAAACACTAAAAAAGTTTGTAATGGGAAGGAATTTCTTTTGATATTGTCCATCGAGTTGGTTATAGTAGGACTACTGCACTAAAGATGAATGAAGCTAAGCGGCACCCAAGTACGGTTTCAACGCAGCAGCCTCTAAATAACTATTTCTACTTACCAGGTACAGATCTAGACTCTTGCCCTAAACAACAAGTCAGTTAGTAAAAACCCTCAATGTTCCTTTCGGAATCAATATAATATTCACCAGATGGACATTAAGTGGGCAATTATGGTAGTAAATTAGTTATTTTCAGATAGGGAGGATAGCCAGTGGTTACGTACTGCCAGGACTTAAGCTTTTCAGTAACCAATATCGTTGCAATTATGGAATACAACAAGTTATAAAATCAATCTGTTCATTATCGCGATCGTGACTGTCACCATGCAACTCTGCCGTGTTATGATCTTCAAAAATTGAAACGAAGACCTGATATTGTTAACTAGTCGTCTGCAATCGCACATACCTTAGGTGTTTGCCATAGACAACATCAAGAATCGATCATTTGCGCTGTTACCCGGCCGTACGGTGTTATATCTCTGTAGCGAGAATCGACACGGCTTATGCCTAGCTATCACAAATACAGTAATTAAACTGCCTCAGGGAAAGCAGCCGGGATGGCTGCTTACATCAAACACTTATGAAAACAATCATTAACGTATTTACTCGAATACTCTCTTGTTCAGTTTTTCCGCATTTTTTTGAGAAGGAACATTCAAGACGCTTTTCCGAGGGGAATTGGGACTGGACGGTATCAATTAAAATCACGGCCCGAAATGTAATACTGTTTACTGCCGTTAAAAAGCCCCCTCGGATATAAGCCCCTCCGTATATATATAAGCCTTCCTAAAACCCCAAGGAAGATGTATAAACCCAGGGAAGGAGCCATAGTCAGGAGGCCCCGCCCGGGGCTTATAAGCGGCAGTTGACGGTATTGTATTAATTGAGGTGAATAAAAATATTAAGGGGCCCTTCATGTCAAAAACAGCGGCCTTAATGATGCTGAACTAGGTTCTCCTTTGGAAGACTCCTGTCCTGATATTGGAAAGAATTATCCGCGAGATCTCCGGCGGAAGTCAAGCCAACCAGGGGCCCGTTTCTCGAAAGTCCCGGTAGCTTTTCGGGCCCAAAATCAAATATTCAAATCGAAATGTAGATCGAAATATTGCATCTATCATGTTCAGTTAACTCGCGAAATAGGAAGTAGAATACTACGCGCTATTATGCACTAATTCCATTGTCTTCTTTTGTTTACTTGTAGCTATTTTGCACTAATTTTTAGTATCTGTTTACGGGTTCATCATTCAACGACGCGTGCTTTACGTTAGTGTTCTGCCAAACTAAGCTGTTCCTCTTTTTCCCTTTCACTTAAATCCTGGATCTTCTTCCATAGGGGACCCACATAATCTGTTTGTGATGATCGTTTCTGATTTTATAGTAAAGTCCAGAAAGTCCGAACTGAGGTAGCAATACAAATAGTCACGTGATATTCGCCAGTACAGGCATGCGCTTTAAAGAGCAGAGGGCTGAAGGAAACTATTATACCCTTCTCTTCAGGGGCACCCAACGAGAAAATAGTGCAAAACCACTTAAACATAGCATTGTTAAACGTATTTTAGTATTTAAATGGTAGATATAGGCATATTTTTATCCCCTAAAAATTTTTCATCTGTTCGGATGTCGTAGGTGAAAGTCTAGTGATAGGAAAATTATAGGGATCAAAACTGACCTTTTTCGAAAATTTCAGCCAGAAAAAAAGCTCCTGAAAATTCTAGGTGACCTTTTAATTTTAGGGTAAAAATCCGTTAAAAATGGGCAATTATACCATTTTTTTGATGTTCGAAAATCCTTACAGAGGCAGGCAACCAAGAAATTTTTCAAGGAAATTTTCCAAAAATTCTAGATCTAAAATCGTCTTCCGAACAGATATTTTCCGAAAATTGACGTTGGGTGCCTCTGAATAGTCGCTACAGATCAGGCCGGTGAAGCCAACGGTAGATACATTTCAGATATAAACTTACAAACGGTTTTTACTATAGTCACACAGCTCGAGTGGCCTTCCTGTGGTTATTCAGGCTGGACGTTGTTCCCAGTTGTTCGGTTTGCCGGCATCAGTGCTAATCCTCTGTTTAGCCTGTCCTGCATGTCAAACCTGAATAAAGCTGACCGAGCCAAATTAGACTAGGGTTTCCGGTGGTATACTCTCCTAAAAATTTTGGAAGTCTTTGTCCTGGGAAATGTGGTTTCCATTACCCTGGGTACCATGTGGAGACTTTTCATGGGCGGTCTCCTGTAACCCGGGGTAGGTTTCCACAATCCTGAAGGGGAAACTTAAATCTTTGAATTGACTTTCATAATTGCTGTACGTCAATCGAATTTTTGCGTCATGTAAATGTCAAATATGTTTGCTAGGTTTTTGTCGCAACTTCAAGTTTTAAAAGTTCGCAGTTTCAGCTTATAAGATGGTCATGCCCCCATCCCTTCCCGAACTACCCTCAGATCCGCACTAGAGTACGTAATAAGAATCGAAGTTTTATACCAACTGAACTATTACAGAGGATCAAACTAACTTGCAGCCATGATGCTACAACTAAATAATCCCGCACAGCTGTTCGGCACTAGAGCCGGCGGGCGGGAAGTTAGAAAACTGTAAAAGATTATTACGTCTCCCTTTTTAAATAAAGTTATTGCTTTGTGATTGTACTAACTAACCTCTCAGGCAGACATGGACTTCGTCTCGCTTTCCAGTTCTCCGCATGACGACATCTGCGTTGGCTGGACCCGGGAAAAAACCATGACAAAATCGGCAAAGCTGCCAGCCTATAGAACAAGTGTTAGGCCATCCCCTTTTTTCTCTTCGTTTACCGTCGAATGCGTTTCCTGATATTGGGAAAGCAAATACCCACGGCAAAACCAAAGCTATTTTGTTTTTGCTTTGAAGTATTTGGTTTTGCCGTGAGATTTTTGGTTTTGCCGTGAGGTTTTTGGTTTTCCCGTGATGTTTTTGTTTTTGCCGTGAGGTTTTCGGTTTTGCCGTGACAGTTGTGGGCCACCATAGCTTTGTGCCCAGAGGGGTACTCGGGGTTTCAAGTGACGGGGATGATCGAAGGATTTTTTTGGGTTTGAAATTTGGCAAGTATTTTTTTGGGTAGCTTGATTTGAGTAGGGATTTTTTGGGGGTATTAAAAAGAATCGGTAGTGTCCTGGCTGCGTAGTTCTGCAAATAAAAGTACAAACAAACGTGTTTTGCTGTTGTTTAAATTTCCAATGTTTTTCTTTGTGCTATAGCATTGGTGGCCCTTAAAAGTTCCTGAAAGGGGTAAATCGGCATGGGGTTTTTTGGGGGGTTTATTTTTGGTCCAAGGATTTTTTCTGGGTTTTGTTGGAAGCCCTAGGGATTTTTTTGGGTCTTGACTTTTGGCTCCATTCGATCATCCCCGTCACTTGAACTCCCGAGTGCCCCCCAACCCCCCTGGGGCTTTGTGCTTGCCGTTGCTTGATCGACCGAAAAAAAGGGAAAAAACAATTCTTCAGGGCGCTCCGCACGGACTTGACGTGACGTTCGGACAGATGACGTCATTAGTGTGTGATGCGCACTCTCAGCAGAATTGACAAACAACAGGCGGTCGGTGTCCAAGATGGCTGAAGAAGACGTTTTTTTGGCAGCTACATCAAATGCGCTTTGGGATCCTGTTCATTCAAAAGACTGGGATAAAGAGAAAGTTACACCGCAGTGTGTACTAAGAATAAAAAGGTAGGGTGACTTTTAAAACGTTTTTTTGTGGTTTCTGGTTCGTTTGTGCTGTGTTCGGACGAGACACTAGCTTTAACACGATCATAAAAATAATCTTAAGAAACTTCTCATTCAAAAGGGAAAAGCTTAGGCTTACTTCTGTTTCAACAATGAACGAGGCCTAGTTTTGAAGATGCACAGTCAAAGCATATATTTTTCTTGCTTGCCCGCTCATTTTTGGCATAATTTTTAGACTTCATCTTCTGGAAATTGTTGATTGTACATTTCTAAACAATAAGCTTAAATCCATCTTATTGCAGTGTATAAGGTGCCAAAGGTTTGCTTGGAAATTTTAGACTCATTGTGCTAGAGGATTTTGTGTTCAATACCATGAAAGCAGTCAAATGCTATATTATGTAAAACTTTGTCAAGTTAATAGCAATGCTAATGGCTTAATTTTGGAACAGGTTTTGAAAATATTAAGCTTAATTGGGTTGTCAATGAAAAAAATAATAAATGATAACAAAAGAGGAGAACTGGTAAATTTTATATATTGTAAATGTGTTGTTTTGTACCATTTCCTGTAAAGATACATATATCAAAAATAAATTATGGATGGTGCATTGACCATTTAAACTTTTTTTTACCTTTTTTAATCATAATTCATGGTTAGTATTATAGTATAGTTTCATGCTTTAATATATTACTTGTTTGTTTTGATTGAAATTGATAGACAGTAATTATTGTGTGGAGCTTGTTTCCATCACATACAGCTGTATCTTTCATTTGTGTACTGAAACAGGGGTCATGCAGTGTGCTTGATATTTTTACACTTAGTTCAATGGCTCTATTTTAAAAATTTGATGAAAGAAAATGCATCCTGAGAAAGAACTGTGGGTGACTGATAATTTGTGGACAAGTAATGCCCTTTCCACCACATGTTTGTTTAAAACAAATTGATGTTTCTGCCAAAGATTATTCTACAGTAATTTAAGATGAACGGCTTTCGTTACTTTTAGGGGGGCGTAGCTTCATAGAGGAAAACAAGGAAGTGTGGGAGCAAAATGACAAGTTTAAAACGATGAAAAAAAAAATGTCATATGTTCGACAACAAAGAACTAATGAAATGCAAATACTGGTCATTCTTGATAGCAGTTTTAGCCACAAACCTTGAATGTCGCAGTCGGAACATTTCTTTGTAATTTTTGGGATTTTAGGCAATTTTATATGGTAGATTCAGGAGAGAATAATGCAGAAATAACTAAAATAGAGTCATGTTTTTTTTCTCGTTCCACATTCTACATTTGGCATATAAATTCGTCACATTGTCGCATAAACTCATCATTTTGCTCATGCATTCAGTAAGTTTTTTCCTCTATAAAGCTATGGTCCCCTAAAAGTAACGAAAACCAGATGAACCTCTTCTGAGCAGCCAATCTTTATTTAGCAGTGGTTTGTCAGTACACTGAGAATGGTTGCTTAATGGAAGTTCGACTGTACTTAACATAAATAACACTGAGATTAGTAAACGCTTCTAAATGTTACTACTACCGTGTCATACACTGTAGCTCGTGGGAAATTATTAATGCTTATGGACTAGTGGAGTACCTCTTTAAGCCATGTTCAAGCATTGGTATGGTTAACCTACCTTATAGAAATAGTGTTGTGGTTCAGTGTACATATACATGTAGGTGATTAATACATGTAGGTGATTAATAAATTATACATGTATTTCACTCGTTCGCTGCGCTCACTTCTGAAATATTTTTCAACACTCGAAGAGAAATTTTGTATCTCTACGCAGCCATGTAATATCCTCTATTTATTTGAAAATCTTTTCAGGGATATAATGAGTATATACAATGAACCACCGCCTGGGATGTGCATAGTTCCTGACAAAGATGACATTACAAAGGTTTGTGTTAGTCAATGTACTATTTACCCTACCAGCTACATACATGTACAGCATATTCTATTGTTTTTATATTCAGCTCATATTTATGATGTTTAAGACCTCATATGCACTTGGAAAAGCTGACTTACAGAACTAAGACACAATATAAAATAATACTGTAATGTAAAATTAATTAAGATCATTAATAGTAGATCTACAGTAAAGTAATCACAAAAAGTACGTTAAATTTTAAATTTATAAGTTCCAAAATCTTGGAAGCACTGTGTCCTATTTGTGACACGAGTAAGCATGTACATGTATATTAAGGGCAGCATTCTGGCAAGGAGGAACTGATCTGAGATTATACTTGTAGGTGTGTATTTGGGAATTAAAAAACTAATAGGATGTTTGTTACACCTTGCCCTGTTCACAGTCTTTTAGAGTACATTGTTGTAACACTAGCTGATAAGCAACCCTCAAAGTACAGTGGAAGCTCCCCTAACAGACACTCTCGTAAATGGAAAGTTCATACAAAAGCTGTATTTTCATATTCCTGTAAGTGGCCAACTCCAGTGACGGACACCTTTTTCGCGTCCCAAGGGTGTCAGCTTAATAATTATAATATGTTCATGTAGAGCTCTTTTTTGCAAAATATAATTACATGTACTTGAACTCAAACTGCCACTAACTTGGTCTTGATTTTAACTTTAGAGTAAGTTAAATCATGTTTAAATTGATAGTCGTCCAGTTGTACACAATAACTCTTCCATTTTTGTTTTAATCTTCTAGATTCATGCTCTGATCACGGGTCCATTTGACACGCCATATGAGGGAGGATTTTTTTACTTCTTGATACGCTGCCCTCCTGACTACCCTATCAGACCTCCAAGAGTAAAACTAATGACAACAGGGGGAGGGCAAGTCAGATTTAATCCCAACTTGTACAGAAATGGTAAAGTCTGCCTTAGTATACTAGGGTGAGTATAATAATATTGATTTGGTAGCCCTTGACCTTTTAGGCCCTAGCTTGCTAGTGTAATAGATTTTTGGTGATATTTAGCCAGGAACTATGTGTTTTTGAAAGAAGTGATGAGGAAGGTGTCATTTAAGAAATACATCATGCTTAGTGTGTATAAATATATTATTGAGTTATGGAGGAATGCAGTAAGTTTGGAGAACACAAGATGGGTAAGAGTTGTTCAAGGTATAGCCAAGAGCTACTGTAGGTTCTTGAGGCTGGCTAGGTGTTCAAATCCAAAAAATGTCAGAAAATTCTTTTTCACATTCTTTGATTTGTGGAGACTTTGTCGAAAGTACAAATGCAAGTGACAAAAATCTGAGTTTAAAAAATGTAATCAACATGTCATTGTAGATATGGGCTGCCATGTACCTATGCTTAGGACAAGCACAGTATGCCATAATTATGTAGTTAAATTATTAGTTCTCAAAATTCCACGTGACAGTTTTTCCTAGTCCTGCTTATTCTACATCTGTGCATGCTCACTGTGTGCCCTGTGAAATAAAGCACTTCATTATATAGACACGAGTGTTTTACAGGAAAATATACCTATTGTTAAATTCATAAAAACTACATCTGGGACCCGAGTGGTTTATTTTCCCTAATCTGTTATCTCACACGCGAGTTTATCGATGACGTAATTTCGGTAATTTCCCTCTACTATTTTATCGATGTCTTTTGTCTATATAATAAAAAGAACATTACACGGCGGCTTGAAGATATGAATTTTATTTTCTCGTGGCAAAACAATATTTTACTCACTCACGCTCATTCGTAAAATATTGTTTTGCCACTCGAAAATAAAATTCATATCTTCGCGCCACCGTGTAATATCCTCTATATATTAAGAATTAATATAGCACAATAATTATTATTAGAAACTGTAGAAAGGAAAGGAAAAGGACTCAGTATTACTCAAGACTGAAGTGGTTTTGAGACTTATAATTACATTGTAAACTTTAGACTATACAATGAAATTTGTGATGTGGACCTCTAACTACATGTAGGTGGATTATCATTAATTTTATGATCTGTTAAACCTGTGCTGGGAGTGCTGAGTTGGTCTGGAGCTGTACAGTATATCGTGTATTTTTGCTGGGAAAAAAATTGTTATTTCTGGAAATGTTTTTTTGGGGGACGTTTAACATTTTATATGTGTTAATTAATGTCATTATTTCAAGGAAGAAAACAAACATCTAGTTCAATTGTGTCTATTTTGCCCCCGCAGAACATGGTCTGGTCCTGCTTGGAGTCCTGCCCAGTCCCTTTCCAGTGTTTTAATTTCTATTCAGTCTTTGTTAAATGAAAAACCATATCACAATGAACCAGGATTTGAACAGGTAAGTTGGTGTCTTATGATGTACATACAGTTACTATCCTGAGAGTAAGTGAGAAGTAAATGAGAATCCAGAATTCAATTTCACTCAGACTTCAAAAGTTAGAACAGTAAGTTGTTTTCATATCAGCTATTTTACAATTAGCGCTGGGAGTGAGAGACAATTAATTAGCAAATGTGTAGTGGTGTATCTTTGGGAAAGGGGCCTTTATATTTAGACCAAAAGTAAGGCTAGCAGACCTGAAGCATCAAGATAGCTTGTTTTTGTTAGAAGTCCCCCCTCCCCTACACCTCACATTTTCATTTGCATATTTTACATTTTGACACAAGAAACAGTTTTCCTCAAAATGGTCGGGGAAGTAGGTGGACTGAGATGTTTAAAAAGATGCTTAGAGTCTCTCCCCTCCCCTATAATTTACTACCATTTTTTGCTTGCTGGCACAAGTTACACACTCTTAGGTGTCAAACAGGAGGAGTATTTTGTCTGATAGGAAACATCTCAATGGCAGCCGTACATGTAAATTGTCCTTAGAAGTAGATTTACTTCTCACAGCTGATTTGTTTACTATTCTTAGGAGCGTCAGGCTGGGGACTACAAGCGATATAATGAATGTATCCAGCATGAAAGCCTCAGAGTTGCGGTCTGTGATATGTTGGAAGGAAAACTTAAATGTCCCTCAGCACTTAGGTGAGCTGGACATTATACTGATATTTACTCTGTGAGCAGTGGTTTCTCCAGGCTGGACACTAAGCTATGAAGGAAGAAAAACCACAGCAAGTGATCCTTTGCTTTTCCATCAATCATACACATCCAATTGACGCCTACATCAAAGCATAAAATAACATCACTTCCTCTTGATTCACAGGAAACTTAAGGGACTTAAAATGCATGGCAAAAAGACTGCAAAACAACAACTTTACATGTGCATCACACTCTTTTGTACATTTCTTTGCCGTTTTTGCACAACTACGACTTTTGAATGCCTAATTTCACATTTTATGGAGAATATAAACAAGCAATGATGAAATTTTATTCTCTAAATCTGAACCTGGATATGGTCCATAAAAATTCAAATCCAGTAGGGTTCACCCACATTTGACAAAGTAAGTGGGTAGGAATTACAGCTGTATCATGAAAAGGACTGAAAAAATGAATGCATATTCACAGCAGGCTCACATAAAGGCAGCAGTTATAATTGTAAACAAATGCGCAAGAGCCTTAACTTGTTCATAAACAGGTTTTACCTGTTCAGAGCAAATTTATTCATCCATGGCAGACAGACAGTTACTCAATCAAAGAAGCAAACGGTCAATCACAGTGGTTTCTCTTCCTTTGTAGGGTAGCGTCCAGCCTGGAGAAAATATCACTACTTGCAGGGTAACTGATATTAGGACAGTAGTAAAAGTATATTGACACTGGTCCTGAGGTTAAAGGACATGATCCGTTAAAGCCTTTGTTTGTTGTTGTGGTGTTCATTAACTAATACTTAGAGTTATGACAGAGAGACGTTTGTTAAATTCAGGGTTCCCTATGTATAATAAATTATTCAAACCGTCCTTTTTAGCTTATGGATGTATCTTGCAACCAGGCCTAACAAATGAAAATAGGAGAACTGTAGACCAGAACAATTTGCATTCAATCAAAAATCATAGCAGTAATTTATCTTTTCTTTGATAAAGATCAAAATGTATTTAAGACTTATCCTAAGAGAGTGTAGCGTCATCATCAGTCAGGTATGGAGTAGAAGAGATTTTCTTGAGGTAATAAATGATAATAGTGATCAATATTTTAGCAGGGAGCCCACTTCAAAAGTAGGTGCTCTTCAGTAGAACCCTGCATAAACTTAGAAGAACTAAATTTAATAATTAAAAAAACTTCAGTATTAATCAAAAACTACTAATAAACAAAGGTTAGGAAGTGTGGGCGTGATAGAGTAAAGGTCAAAACGCTCTTCCCTTTTGTGCTGTGCATTGCATAAGTTTCACTTGATAGAAGGTCAAAATTCATGTGATCAGATTACAAGTAACAGTAGGTCGAAACCCACATGATCAGATTGCATTCTACTTATTTTATTCAAAACATTCTTAGTGGAAGTCCAAACGAATGCTGGCTACATATGTGTCGGTCATGCATAATAGCAACCTGCAGATTAGGAATGCAGGCTGCTCTGGTTGCCCGCAACTAAATAGACTCCGTAGCTGGTGGGATTAGCAGGCAAGTGCTGCAGTTTTTTGGCGGCGGAGCCACGTGTACATTGGGAACAAGTGCAGCTTTGTCGTTTGTGAAAATCTTTGTGGCTTTGCTGCTCTCACTTTGCATGGCAGCTCTACTGCCAAGAATGTAACCTCGGACACAACAATCCTGCCAGCTACATGTATGCAGGCTACCAACTTAACTTGTAACATTATATTTTGCAACCAGGCCTAACTAGCAGAAGACTAGATTAAAACTAGACTCACTGAAAGGCAAATTTAACTGGGCTGCCATGGTGATTCTTTCCTTAGCAGAGGCACAGGTTACAATAAAACCATACCTTTTGGTGTTTTTAATACTCCCCCTCCCGCTGAGGAGAAAATCAAAGTTATTTATTAACTGGGCCCACCTTAAACAGCCCAATTAATAAACACAGTGCAAGAACAATAAAACCATTTAAAATTCATGTTTAAGCTTAGATTTAAAATTGATCAAGAGTCTTGTTGATGTGGAACTTTATTGTTTCAGAGATGTAATGGAGAAATCATTTCCAGAATTTTATGATTACTACTTATCAGTCATTGGTGACAACTCGCATTTGAATGGACAAAACATGCAGGTAGGGACTTTGAATGTTATCTGCAAATACATTTTACTGTAGATTCACCAAATTGCAATAATGTTGTCTTTGAAAAATGCTAGAAGGAAAAAGCCAAATAGGAATTAGAATTGAGTGACTAAACCACTTTACAGTGCATTCATTTGCATTTTAGATTTATAGGCATCACAGTTGCCCTATGGAATTTTTTATGCTTTTAGGCATAAGCAACGGCTGTACACAGATGTTTCTAATAATCTGCTTTGTACGTGTACATTTTTCATCTTTTCCTTGAAGCATTTTTTCTATGACAATGTAATTGCAATTAGGTGTACGTAGGAGTATTATACCCCCTGTGGATTGGACACTAGTCCATCACAGGCACACCAGGCAAGTATCTTGTTATTACTTGCCATTTATCCCTCAGAGTGGGAGGCACAGTGTAGGACAAATCTTGTAGATTAGACACAATACTGTGACAGTGACCAACACATACCTGAGCTAGCAATTATCAGCTCTGAAACCACTGAAGGTGATAACCACAAGACATAAAATAACATAAGACCAGTATTTTACAGTTTACAATATTATTGGACCTCCAATAAGCGACCACCCGAAAAGGGAAAATTTATTGATCACTTACAAGAATCAAACTATGCAGGACACTTCTCTGGGTAGAGATCCTGACATACCTATAACTACTTTTTAGAGGAGAATTTATTGTTTGAAGTTTCGTTCGTAGCGATATGTGTTCTGTGTATACTCTGATTAACATTGTGCCATGAACACAGATCAGATCATGAGTCAATTGGTTGCTTACAAGAGGTTAAAACCAATAGAAAATTCTAAAACCATCACTCCAAAAAGTTGTCATGGTCTTTGATTGCAAAAAAGGACTCCGACTTGTAAAATTATTGATCCATCAGTGGTTATACACAGGGGTCCCTGTTATAAGAGAGTCAATAAAATGACTGAACAATAACAGAGACCAACTTTCTGTGTCTTTTTTAGGTTTTGTCTGTTATGAGAGAGTTTAACTCTAATATCAGATTTGAAATTTGTATTTGTTTTATTAACAACAATAATTTTGGTATGATGTGATGTCCCTGTCTTTAATTAACATTGAGTTTTTAGGGATAGAGGTATTGCTATGTCACAATCCCTATTGTTTTTCCAGCCAATCACAAACAGTCTTTCAAATGGGTGCAGATTGCCCTCAGTTATTTCAGTTTGTTTTAATTAACAGAAGAAAACAGCTGATATTTTGCGACCCCACCACCAGTTCCACTGCAAAATGAGGTCTGAGAAACGACTGCAGGAATTCTATACTGATGGTGTTACTTTCCAGATCTGGGTAGTGCTTTTGATTGGTTAAAGTAATTTTGCCTCGCGGGGTGACCAATCAGAAGCACTGCCCAGATCTGCGTACTGACACGTCATCAGTATCACTATCTAATTTCTGCGCTTGTTCCTCGGACATCGATATTTCACTATTGTGTTTGTGCTTTTTCTCTGTTGCTGTCGAAGTTTCAACCCATCTTTGTGTCGTTTAGGCCATCCCAATAAAATGTTTCATTTCCCATCGCCCGACCCACCCATTTATTTCCAAAAGTAAAAAAAAAAATTCCAGATTCACTAGTCAAAGAAGCAAGTGCTTTAATTTACAAGCACACGATCTTGTTTTATTAACAACAATTTCTATGATGTGATGTCCTTGTCTTTAATTAACATCGATACTACGTTTTAAAAAGGCTGTTTAGACATTTGATAGAGGCTTTGTTACTTAGCAGCCCGGCCTTCTCTGGAACCCAGACCCCTTGAAGTGTTCATTCTTTTTTTCTTTTTTTTTTTACCCGACTGACCAACCCACCATCACAAGAGACAGGGCAATGGGAAACATTTTATTGGGATGGCCTTATCACCATTACTGTTGTCCTATCTCACTGTTTCAAGGTCACTTGTCGGAATTTCCCTAAACAGGGCTGTTTTTAACACCATGTTTTGATTTCATGACAGGACCCATTTGGAGAAAAGAGAGGCAGTTTTGACTTTATATCCATTAAACAAAGACTGGAGCTAATCAAAAAACGATTGGAGGAGAAAAAGCCTGCTGCGCACGCGTCAGATGGATCGTCAAGCGATAATGAAAATATGGAGGAATCTTAACATAAAATTAATGTTATTTATGTACATATAGGAGTAATAATATTATTTAAGACTTACAAACATTGAAACTGCCTATGGTTTCTTAAGTGATCTCTTGTGGGAAACAGTTGACATATGCTGCTTAAATGTCCAGATTTGCCCAGGTTATGACTAACTTGTATGAATCTATGATGACGAGACTTACTATAGAATTGTTAGTTGTTTACCATTTACACGAGTGAACTGGTCGGTTCACGGATTGGGCAAATGGTAATAAAAATTCAGGACTGGTAAATTTCGTCCCGAAATCGTGTTGACCTTTTCAGCCTTTTGTACGAATCAGTTCTATTTTCCGAAAAACGGTCACCAAGGCCTGAGATCTGAGAACTGAGATCAAAGATGCCTTTGAAGAAATCGAATACGAATTTCCGTTTGGAACATTCCGTCCAGAAAAACAGGGCTACCTTTTCAAATATTTTATTGCTACTGAAAATCTTCCGCTGGAACGACCCAAAAAGCCGTGTTCCATTCACTATCCAACCGCGTATTCCGGAAACTTTTGTTAAATGGTGAAAAAAACGTAACGAAGAAGACTTTAGTGCGTACCCTCCAAACCAGAATGGCTAAAATCTTCATTGCGACTTGTACATTTTATCGCATACGATTTATAGATATTGTAGAGCAACAATATTATTTATTGAATTAATTAAAGAAAAACGCATTTAAATAGTGGCAACTCGCTTGCCTAGCCGGTGGGATTGTTATTCAACGCGAGCAAAGTTTTGGTAGAGGAAATACAAAGCCGTGCAGAGAATGGGGAGGAGACACTTTGACATCCCGCTTCGGTGCTCACTTCTCGCGTAAAACCCGCGAGAATGGTCGCTTCGCCTCCAGAACTCACACCCCCGCAAAAACAATTCCACCAGCTACGCAGGCTAAGTGGCAACTTGGATTTAGTGCAGGATGGACATGGCAGCTTGCAGAACAAGAAAATAAATGTATAAAAATGTGAATTTCCTAATAAATGGGATTAAATTGATACTAACACTAGTGAACTTTTGGAGCTCTTGGGCAAGCAGTTTGCATAGCGTCTCATTTAGTAACTGCATGGCAGTAGTAAAATGGGAGGGGTGGGAAGGGGGGTGCTAGAGAAAGGGGACTGGGGAGAGGGAGAACGAAGTGCAACCAGCTTCTGGTCAACTTCCTGATCAAGCTCTTATCCAATAAACGCCCCCTCTGTATTAGACACGCCTCTCGAATAGACGCCCTCCGCCCCCCGTCTAATAGACGCCCCCTGGGACAATTACCGTATTGATCCTCTATTAAGCCCCCCTCCCTCTAGTAAGCCTCCCCCCTTCTCAGGTGAAGAAAGTTAATAAGCCCCCCTCCCTCCCCTCCCCTAATTATTCTTCACCAATAAACAAGAATCACTTCGTGAGTTTTACCGGGGCCACTTTTGTCTTGGCAACCCACGAGGAAGGGTCGTTTTCATCAACAAGTTTGTCGGGCGACATAAAAATCTTTTTTCTTGCAAATGTTCTTTAGAGATGAAAACAAGGTGTAATGAATAATGTGAAAAGAGAGAAATTAATGTTAGGGAATCCCCCATTTTGAACAGTTGAGAGTTTTCGGATGTCGCTAACGTAAATATTGCGTGACAAAGGTTATGTGAAACAGTCTTTTTTGGATTTTCATTAGTTAAAGCAGTGAAAGGCTTTCTTGTAATGAGTCTTAATTATTTGCCGGCCAATATTTGACGAAGTTTCCTGTAGCGAGTGCGAATTGTAAGGTATTGAAACGCACAAACAAAGTTTCGCGCATGCAAGTTTAATAAGTTAAGAGTTTTGTTTTGTCGTAGTGTACACAGTTCAACAGCGACTAAGCTTTGTCATCGTTAGGATGAATACTGTAACAATATTTTTCAATACACAGGGATCTCATTTATTGATAAGTAGCAAATATACATGTAGTCGAATTAACAATTTCGTTCCAAAACTAATCGAATTAATATTTGGCCCTAAGCCTATTTAATGAATAATTAATTTTCTTTGAATTATTTCAATATACTTCTAAATCACAAAGGTAAACAATTATGTCCAGTAAAGGTGAGTGCATAGAAACGCCCTAGCAATGGTTTAATGCAAATAAGGAAAGAGGAAAGGGCAAGGGGAGGAGGAGGGAAAAAGTAATTTGTTCGCATGGCGAGTGTGTTAGAACGAATGACTGCGTTGCAGCAAAGGTCACATGTAATTAAAACTCCAGAACAATAGATGAGGGTTCAATACAAGTGAGTCAACTCCCCCGGGGGTACTGCCATATATGGGCTATATAGGTATGTGCCGCTGTGAAGGGTATGGTTTTCAAGCAGTTTACTCTGGGATAGGGTATATAAATCAGAGCGTTTGGCTCTAGAATAGGGTATCATTTTTCAGGAAACTGATCAGTTGGTTGAAGATTTTATCTAGACTAGGTACACAGCTACTCTAGGATAGGGGGATTTGGGGATTTTACTCTAGTATAGGGTAGCAAAATTCAGCTGAACTAGCTCTGGTAAAGGTTAAGGGTTCCAGGCTGCCAGCGGCACATCCCCACCCAGAAATTCCTAAAGTACCTCCCCCGGGGTCAACTCCCAATCCTAGGCTCTCAAGTTATGCAGCTTTTCTCGCGTGTTCAGATCGATTACATACTAGTATAAATAAGATATTTCTTAGCAACAAGAATCCAAAGTAGCTAAGAATACCAAGGAGAAAAACATAAAAAATTCTACATCAACGTCTAATGAATAATGTGAAAAGACAAAATGTTAGGGAATCCCGCATGTTGACTGGGTTGAGAATTTGCGCATCTCGCTAACGTAAATATTGCGTGACAAAGGTTATTTGAAAATATTTTACTTTGTTGCTTCAAAGTCAAAGCAGTGATAGACTTCCTCCTAATGAGTTTTAATTGTTTGTCGGAAAATATTTGACGAAGTTTCCAGTAGGGAGTGCGAATTGTAAGGTACTGAAACGCATAAACAAAGCTTGGCGCATGCAAGTTTCATAAGATTTTTGCTTTGTTGTAGTGTACACAGTTCTACGTCGACCAAGCTTTGTCATCGCGGGGATGAATACTGTAACAATATTTTGCAATAGACAGGGATCTCATTTATTGATAAGTGGTAAATATAGTCGCATTAAACCATTCCGTATGCAAACTAATCGAATTGATATTTACATGGTTACAGTTGTTGCTCCCTACTTCAAATTTCTGAACCAGCGATATATCTCAGCGAACACTCCCAAAAGTAACGAGCCAGCGATATATCTCAGTCAGCGATATATCCCTAACAATGTAACTTTGAAAACACAGAAACGCGTTGCATTTTATGACCGGTGCCAGCCTTCGGCTAGGCCCCGGTAATGATAGTAGACTGTATTAATTAATCACGACTGTAAAACTTCGTGTGGACTGATCCGGGATGATTTATTTATCAACTAGAAGTTCGGATTTGATTCTGATCATCGGCTGCATGACCTCCAACGTTCTTGTACTTGAGCTTTTCCCCTTTGTTTCCTAGTTCTTTTTGGAGAACTGATACCATCGCCTTTTGTAAATTAAATAAGCCCCCCGTCTCTATTATGGGCTTGAAATAAATAAGCCTCCCGGGGACCTTAATAGAGGATTTACGGTACTCCAAAATTCACCAGGAATTAGCAGGAAAGGAGCAAAATAATTCAATTTATTCAATTTTTTGCTTATTTCACGAGGATTTGCGTATTCTATCTTGTTCAATAGGGAGCTTAAGCAACAGCGTTGTTGAGCGACGGACGTCAACCGGAAGTGGACCTTTTGCATTATTGGGCAGTGGTTTGTTTGAAACTCTCGGATAAATCCTCCTCATAAGAGAAAAGAAACTTAGCAATACAAATTTGTTAGCGTCAAGGCATATAAAAAGGGAGAATGCCTCACTTCCGGTTGACGTGCGTCCCTCAAAAACGTCTTTGCTTAAGCTCCCTAATGTTAAGTTCAAAGTAAGGATATGCTAACGATGACAACAAACAACCCAGCGTTGCAACATTGTTGCGACATTACTTCAAATGGTTGCAACATTGTTCCAACGTTGCAATGCTGTGTTGCGCAAAATATCGTCGTTGCGAATCGTTCCTTGTAACGTCACCTTGAGACATGTCCACAACAGTCCAACACCGCGGCAAAACGTCTACGCATGCGCCAGGATGAACATTTCCGGTCTCTTTTTCAGTCACACTTTCCAGTCAGATCATAACCTGAGATCAGGCGTCTTTTTTTTTTTTTTTTTTTGCTTCTTTGGCTCGAGAGGGAAAAAAAAAGTAACGCCTGATACATTTATTTAACAAGCAGTCAACCGCCCCCTAATTTACATGATCTACCGTTTGCTTGACCTGTCATGTTTTTAGCCAATAAGCGTTTACCAAACGGGAATCAAATTTTGGCGCGAATAATGTCTCTTTTGAAATCATGATCAGTTTTAGGGGAAAAAAATTTTTAAGTACGTCCGTGTTCAGATGGCGCTTCGTAAAAAATGAAAAAAAATTAATGTGTTGTTTTTCTGATGAAATACTGCTAGCTGGAGCTGTCGTACCTTTGTGAATAGCTACAAATAATAAAGAATTTACTGGTTAAAGCTCGTTGACTTCGTTCTGTACTACGAAAGCAGTGGAAAAAAAATTAGGCTGAAGCACCATATTTCACGAACTGAAAGGTGTTGTGAAAGCGAAGATCGCTCAGAATAATTCGCAGCATGATTTCGGAAGGAGGAAATACAGTCAAACCAGGTCAAGATTCCATTCATGAATTGATTATTTGAAAAGTGAACCCGTTTGTCGCTTCTGTAACTTGTAGCCGGTATCAAATTGCATTCAAATGATCGGTGAAGTTTTGACTGCAACTGTTTTGGTATACGATGAGATGGTAAATATTTCAATGGATGAAACTTCTATTTAGGCATTCTTCAAATTCAAGAAAACTGAGCGGGCAGAAATTTCATAATGAACTCGCGT